TGCTCAGTGCTCAGTGCCCTGTGCCCAGTGCTCAGTGCTCAGTGCCCTGTGCCCTGTGCCCATTGCCAGGTAGAGTAGATGGGCTGTGAGTGGCGTGCTCCGTCTCGTGAGTGCCAGCCCTCGTTGAATGAATCGCCTCGCCTTTGCTTTGCCACCGGGGTTCTTTGTAATTAGCTCTCGAATGACACCAGCTCTGCCCTGAACCAGGGGCTCTGCGGTGATTAGGGGCTGGTGTCAGCTGCACCGGGAGATACCGCTGCCGGGAGCCACCGCTGAACAGTGCCCTGAAACCCGAGAGGTGATTTAAAGCGATAGCGGCTCCTCCCGGCCCGCGGCCTCTGCCATCTGTTGGTGCGATTAGGCCTCTCTGATTCCCAGGTGAGCGGGCGTGGAGAGGACGCCGTGGCGGCCTGTGTGGGCGGAGGAATGCCACGGCCAGGGCAGTGGGCAAGGTGGGGAGGGGATGATGCCATTAAAGCAACGCCGGCCACCGCAGATGCCCAAGGCCTGACCGGTTCATAGGGAAAATTCTAGAAGCACCGAGTTCTTCGCATCTCAGCCCCGGGAGCCACCGCGCATCCCGTGTGCTTCCTCGGACCCTCTGGATTGTCCGGAAACGCCAGGGGGTGCGTCTGAGAGTCCCTCTCCCGTCCCCTGTGCTGACGGGACGGGCTGGGCTTCCCCGAGTTCTTTCTCTCTCTGGGCGGGTGGCTCTCAGGTCTGTGTCTGCGGCCCGAAAATACGGGGTGTCCCCCAGAGTGTATCCACAGGGTGAATAATTATCCGTTCCGGCAGGTTAAACTGAAAGGAAAGAAACGTCACCGAGCTATTAAAAATGTCCATGTCTGCGTTTTGGGGGGCACCCTATGTACTGCAGGTTATCTTTCCCTCTGCCGTTGGCTGGTTAATTAGTTTTGATGGTTAACTATGAAAGGAAGCAGGCTGATCTGTGGGGTCGGTTCTTCTCAGACCCTAGAAGGCCTGGTACGATGGCAGAACGAACCGTCAAAAATACGGGGAGGCAGTTCCGCTGGGGCCCCGACACGGGGGTGTGCCCCGTCCAGGCCGGGTTTGACCTCTGCCGGCCTGACGGGCATCATCCAGGCCGGTCCTCGCTGCTCCCAACTCAAACGGAGCCGCGTCAGAAGCGGGCTCCCGGCCGGGGTCCTGGTTTCCCCTGAGCCCCCTGAGCCGCCAGGTTTTTCGGATCGGGCTCGGTTCTACTTCACGTCTGTTACCGCGTGTCTCAGGCCTGCCTCGCCCCGTGGGCCGCTCTGGAGGGCGCGGAGGGAGTGTTCTGGGGGATCCCGGCTCCACCTGCTCCTCTCAGGGATCGCATTCGACACAGGCGTCTCCGTGAGGAGAGGAGCAGGGTCACGGCCTTCCTGCCGCACGTGGGCTCTGGGGGGACCCTTTCTCGGAGACGCAGAGCCACCGGCACCATCTGGGCTGCAGCGAGCCGTGTGCTACCCGGTCCTTCCTCGGGGCGTCCCGGGCACTGACCACAGACCCGCGTTAACCCGCGGCCTCTGTCGCCGTGGAGACCCAGGCTGCGGAGCCCCTGCCCTAGCCGAGGGGATCGGCCTGACTCCCCCACCCTCTTGGCCAGGTTCCTCCGTCTCAGGTGGGAAGGGCATTCTCGGGTCGGACTAAAGCAGCTGACTCGCTGGGGACCTCACGTCTCACCCGCGCTGGGCGCTTCCCCGCGCAGAACAGCCCTGTGATGTCACCACCGGCCGGGCTGCCAGGAAATGCCGCTGCTCACACGCCCGTCCGCCTGACCTGGGGGCAGAAAGGGCCGTTTCAGATGCTGGTTTTCAGAATGTGTCCCGGCCTCGGGCTGCGGAAGGTTCCGTGCACGTCAGCGTGGGAAGGCCTGACGGAGCCTTGTTCTGGGTCTGGACGGGTCCCCGGGCAGCCGATGAGGACCCACGAGTGCCCGTCTTCGGGGAGCGAGGGTCACCGCCTCCACCGTGTGGTCAGTGGTTGTTTCTGAGGCGCTCGAGGCTCTGTTCTCGGGAAGATGACGATGGACACGGGGTCAGGGGGGAGCCAGGCCGCTGCAGCGCGATCCCTGCGGCGAGGCGGCTCCTTCTGCCGCGTGAGGAGGGACGGGGCGTCTGTTTTGGTTCCGTGCCTGTCGGGACCTGTGGCCGACGCCCGTGCCTGTGCCGGGAGCGAGGCCGCGTGTTTTGGACGGAACTCGGGGAAAGGAAGGTGTTTGGCCCGAGATCTGGAACTCCTGTCGGTGGTGGAGACACCTTTGCTCTGATGGGGACCTGCACGTGGTGGCGATGATTCCTCGGTAGACGGTGCTTTCTTAGTTACGTTTACGTTTCTCAGAATTGAAAACAACGAAACAACCGCATTCCACAGGCTTCCTTAGACTCTGAAATTCTTCTGTGAATGAAACACCGTCCTTCTCCCACCACCAGCCGCCTTCTGCCGCCTTAGGCTCCGTGACCGTCTCTCCTTCCGCAGGCTCCTCTGGGCACGGCCTCGCCAGCAATTGCAGGGTTTTCTTTTCTTTTTTTAAATATATTTTTATTGACGTCAGAGAGGAAGAGAGAGGGAGGGAGAGAGAAATGTCAATGATGAGAGAGAATCACGGACCGGCCGCCTCCTGCACGCCCCCCACTGGGGATCGAGCCCGAAACCCGGGCCTGTGCCCTGACCGGGAATCGATGGCTGACCTCCTGGGTCATAGGTCGACGCTCGGCCCCTGAGCCACGCCAGTTAGGCGCAGGGTTCTCTCCAAGGCAGATCCTGGGAGCCCCCCCGGGGCAGCTGGTCGACCTCCCCGTGGCCTCTGGCATTGACTGGGGGTAACTGGCCCGATTCGTTTTAATGTTTTTCTTATTGAATGTCTCACTGTCAGCGAGTTCACCGTTTGAATGAGATTCCTCAACTCAAGCAC